GGTTACAAGTATTATTACACCAGAGATATGTACCATCTGTGTTACAGGGTTACAAGTATTATTACACCAGAGATATGTACCATCTGTGTTACAGGGTTACAAGTATTATTTCACCAGAGATATGTACCATCTGTGTTACAGGGTTACAAGTATTATTACACCAGAGATATATACCATCTGTGTTACAAGGTTACAAGTATTATTACACCAGAGATATACACCATCTGTGTTACAGGGTTACAAGTATTATCACACCAGAGATATTTACCATCTGTGTTACACAGTTAAAATACCTATCTGCCCCCATAAAATAACCATCTACAATCTACTGTAGCCATAAAATACCTATCTGCCCACATAAAATACCTATCTACCCCCATTAAATAACCATTTACCCCATATACTGTAGCCATTAAATACCTATCTGCCCCCATAAAATACCTATCTACCCCCATAAAATATCCATCTACCCTATACCGTAGCCATAAAATACCTATCTGCCCACATAAAATACCTATCTACCCCCTTTAAATATCCATTTACCCCATATACTGTAGCCATAAAGTACCTATCTAACCCCATTAAATATCCTTTTACCCCATATACTGTAGCCATAAAATACCTACTTGCCCCCATAAGATACCTATCTTCCCCCCATAAAATATCCATCTACCCTATACTGTAGCCATAAAATACCTATCAGCCCCCATAAAATATCCATCTACCCCATATACTGTAGCCATAAAGTACCTATCTACCCCCATTAAATAACCATCTACCCCATATACTGTAGCCATAGAGTACCTATCTACCCCCATTAAATAACCATCTACTCCATATACTGTAGCCATAAAGTACCTATCTAACCCCATTAAATATCCTTTTACCCCATATACTGTAGCCATAAAGTACTTATCTACCCCCCTTAAATAACCATCTACACCATATACTTTAGCCATAAAGTACCTATCTACCCCCATTACATAACCATCTACCCCCATTAGATATCCATCTACCCCATATACTGTAGCCATAAAGTACTTATCTACCCCCATTAAATAACCATCTACCCCATATACTGTAGCCATAAAGTACCTATCTACCCCCATTAAATAACCATCTACACCATATACTTTAGCCATAAAGTACCTATCTACCCCCATTAAATAACCATCTACCCATATACTGTAGCCATAAAGTACTTATCTACCCCCACTAAATAACCATCTACCCCATATACTGTAGCCATAAAGTACCTATCTAACCCCATTAAATAACCATCTACCCCATATACTGTAGCCATAAAGTACCTATCTACCCCCATTAAATAACCATCTACCCCATATACTGTAGCCATAAAGTACTTATCTACCCCCATAAAATCACCATCTGCCCTACACTATATAGTCACAAAATATCTATCTACCCCCCATAAAATCACCATCTGTAACCTATACTGCAGTCATAAAATACATACATATATCTACCACCATATAAACGTGTCCACTCCCATATATTTACATTTGGTGTGGCAAAGCCCTTCTATATTACTACTAAAGTACTGCCAATAGCAGCTTCATCTCATGAGACTATAACTGAAGTTGGTCTTTGCACCTTCGAGCGACTTAACAGTGTCACTACCGAACTTATCGGTATCTTCTGCTTTGATCCCAAAAAACCAGCTGTCTGTCTCAAGTGTCTGTGAGATCAAGGTAGCAGAATACAGTAGAAATGGCCCGACTCTGATAAACAAGGCACATGTCGAGGAAATGTAAACACAGCGGTTTTACCCTACACAACACATGTATACATGTATATATATTTGTAAACTGCATTACATTTACAATACATATAAAGCACTGAGAAGTGTATAAACCTCTTTTTTCTATGTATGTCACTTGTGTGAAAACCATGGTTACCACATCAAAAATTACCAAAAAATGCCAAAAAATGCTATTTTTAACCCAAAATTTGACCCCCGCAAGTAGTAATTTTTTTCCTAAGCTCTGTCTGAAATTAAAGATTACCTACCTGGTTGCAGAATTATCTGGGTCGCAGTAAAATTGTAGAACTTGATTTTTTGCAATTTTGCGTCGTGTGCTGTTGTCAAAATTTTACCTCCTGTAAAGCTAGCTTTTCATGTGTACGCACCCTTTCGTATTATGGCCAAAATTTTATTCTCGAACCAAAGAAATCTTCTTCCTTTTTTTTCAAATGTGAAGCTCACATAGCCCACTTCATCATGCTTATACCAATTTTAGTACAGTTTTATTTTTATATTTTTTTTACATATCATTATACAGGGGTTAGCCATTTAACAAAAATATCACCCATGGCCACAACCCTCTACTGTACTCTGCTACCCAACAAACAATTATACGCCTGGATTTTTCACCAATTCAACCTTCTCCGGTTGCACGATCAACATCAACAACATGCCGGACTGTGAATATAACTCTGACCTGATTACTGTGGGCTTCCGTTGAGTGCGTGCGCCGGATATAGGTCGCAATAAAATCGGAAAATGTTTTACGACACTTGATTAGTTACTTACAAAATGTCATTTGTTACTATTTATGAATCGAGAATATGATATATATATAAATCAAAATCAAATGAATTATTAACGAAAGTTGCTGAGTCTTTCAATTTTGTATGGGAAATAGCGCATGACGTCAGCTGTTATCTTTGTGCCGTTCTAGATACTGACCTGACCTGACGGTAATATGCGGGAAATTTGAAATTTGGAAAAGACATATATTTTTTTTGCGAATTCTCATTATGGGAATATAAATATAAGCGATAAACTGCATAGATGTGGCAGACCAACTGGCAGTTATACCAGTTGGTCTGCCACATCTATGCAGTTTATTGCTTAAATGATACCTATTCACTTAGCTATAAGTGACCTATTGCTATCCGCTTCGTCCGAGTTCTACTGGGTCGATTGAACTGAAACTTGGTAGGAATGATCGACTCATGGTCCTGCCAAAGTGTTTTAAATTTTCGGGTTGATCAGAAATCCAATATGGCCGCCACGGCCACCATGTTTAGCTCACCTGGCCCGAAGGACGATTGGGAACGTATGCCATACCGCAGCGTCCTCCGTCCGTCCGTCGTCTGTCCGTCTGTCAACTTTTCCTTTAAAACGCTACTTGTCCTGAATGGCCAAGTAGATTTTGACTAAATTTGGTCTGGAACATCCTTAGGCCAAGGGGACTCAATTTTGTGACTCAAACGGTGGGTGTGGCCACCCTGGGGGCAGAGGGGCGGGGCCCAATAGGGGAAATAGAAGTAAAACCTTTAAAATCCTTATTCTACCGTAGGGATTAAGGGATTTTATCCTAATTTAGTCTGGAGCATCCTTGGGCCAAGGGGACTCAATTTTGTATAAATGGTGGGTCTGGCCCGCCAGGGGCCTGAGGGGCGAGGCCTTGAATAGGGGAAACATAGCAAATTATTCTTTAAAATCCTTCTTCTTCTGTAGGAATGAAAGGGTTTAATCCATATTTGGTGCGGAGTTGCGGAGCATCCTTGGGTAAAGGGGAACCAATTTTGTATAAACCGTGGGTCTGGCCCCCCTTAGGGCTGAGGGGCAGGGCCCAATAGGGGAAATATAGCAAATTCTTTAAATATCCTTCATCTTCTGTAGGAATGAAAGGGGTTGGTGCGGAGGTGCGGAGCATCTTTGGGTAAAGGGGAACCAATTTTGTATAAACCATGGGTCTGGCCCACATGGGGGCTGACGGGCGGGGCCCAATAGGGGAAATATAGCAAATTCTTTAAATATCCTTCTTCTTCAGTAGGAATGAAAGGATTTGTTCCATATTTAGTCTGAAGCATCCTTTGGTGAAGGGGAACCAATTTTGTATAAACTGTGGGTCTGGCCCCCCTAAGAGGCTTGAGGGGCGGGGCCCAATAGAGGAAACAGCAATCTATTCTTTAAAATCCTTATTCTTCTGTAAGAATGAAAGGATTTGTTCCATATTTAGTCTGAAGCATTCTTGGGTGAAGGAAAACCAATTTTGTATAAACGGTGGATCTGGCCTCCCCTGGGGGCTGAGGGGTGCAGGGCCCAATAGGTGAAATATAGCAAATTATACTTTAAAATCCTTCTTCTTCTGAAGGAATGAAAGGGTTTTGTCCATATTTGGTACGGAGTTGCGGAGCATCCTTGGGTAAAGGGGAACCAATTTTGTATAAACCGTGGGTCTGGCCCCCCCTTAGGGCTGAGGGGCAGGGCCCAATAGGGGAAATATAGCAAATTCTTTAAATATCCTTCATCTTCTGTAGGAATGAAAGGGTTTGGTGCGGAGGTGCCGAGTATCTTTGGGTAAAGGGGAACCAATTTTGTATAAACTGTGGGTCTGGCCCCCATGGGGGCTGAGGGGCGGGGCCCAATAGGGGAAATATAGCAAATTCTTTAAATATCCTTCTTCTTCAGTAGGGATGAAAGGATTTGTTCCATATTTAGTCTGAAGCATCCTTTGGTGAAGGGGAACCAATTTTGTATAAACGGTGGGTCTGGCCCCCCAGGGGCTTGAGGGGCAGGGCCCAATAGGGGAAACATAGCAAATTATTCTTTAAAATCCTTCTTCTTCTGTAGGAACGAAAGGATTTGTTCCATATATGGTGTGGAGCATCCTTGGGTAAAGGGGAACCAATTTTGTATAAATCGTGGGTTTGGCCCCCCTGGGGACCTTAGGGGTGGGGACCAATAAGGGAAATACAAGTATAACCTTTTTAATCCTTCTTCTACCATTGGGATTTTATCCTAATTTAGTCTGGAGCATCCTTGGGCAAAAGGGACTCAATTTTGTATAAACAGCAAGTGTGGCCCCCATGGGGGCAAAAGGGAGGGGCCCAATAGGAGAAACATAGCAAATTCTTCAAATACCTTCTTCTTCTGTTCGAATGACAGGATTTTGTCCAAATTTTGAATGAAGCATCCTTGGGTGAAGGGGAACCAATTTTGTAAAAACGGTGTGTCTAATCCCCCTGGAGGCAGAGAGGCGGGACCAAACAGGGGAAATAGAGATAAAACCTTTAGAATCCTTCTTTGACCATCGGGATTAAGGGGGTTTTATCCTTATTTAGTCTGGAGCATCCTGGGCCAAGGGGTCACAATTTTGTATAAACGGTGGGTATGACCCCACTAGGGACATAGGGGTGGGGCTCTGTTTGAAGTTTGTTCTCGCTATATCTCAAAAACTGGATGGATCTTTCTGAATTTCTTATGTACTTACAGCACCTACCATTGAGTGCTATATCTTTACTTCATACCAATTATTTTAAACATATTCAGGTGAGCGATACGTACAGGCCCTCCGAGCCTCTTGTTAAAAACTGTTTCAAACTTTAAGTCAAACTCAACTGGGCCGATTGAACTGAAACCTTGTAGGAATGACTGACTCATGGTCCTGACAAAGTGTTGTTATTTTCTTGTTGATCAGAAATCCAATAAGGCCACCACGACCGCCATTTTGAAAAAAAATATTTCAAACCTTTAGTCAAATTCTAATGGGTCGATTAAACTGAAACTTGGTAGGAATGATCGACTCATGGTCCTGACAAAGTGTTGTTATTTTTCGCGTCGTTTAGAAATCCAATATGGCAACCACGACCGCCATTTTGAAAAACTATTTTAAACTTAAAGTCAAGTTCTACGGGGCCAATTGAACTGAAATTTTGTTGGAACGATCGACAGTTGGTCCTGACAAAAAGCTGTTATTTTTCGGGTCGATCAGAAATCCAATATGGCCCCCACGGCCGCCATTTTGAAAATTTTCATTTCAAACCTTTAGTCAAATTCTAATGGGACGATTGAACTGAAACTTAGTAGGAATGATCGTCTCATGGTCCTGCCAAAGTGTTGTTAATTTTCAGGTCAATCAGAAATCCAATATGGCCCCCACGGCCGCCATTTTGAAGAAAAAAAAATCAAACCTTAGTCAAGTTTTACTTGGCTGATTGAACTGAAACCTTGTAGGAATTAGCGACTCATGGTCCTGACTAAGTGTTGTTATTTTTTGGGTTGATCAGAAATTAAATATGGCCACCAAGGCCGCCATTTTGAAAAACTATTTCAAACTTAAAGTCAAGTTCTACTAGGCCGATTGAACTGAATCTTGGATGGAATGATTGACTCATGGTCCTGACAAAGTGCTGTTATTTTTCGGGTCAATTAGAAATCCAATATGGCCGCCATTTTAAATTAAAACCAACTTCTACTTGGCGGATTGAACTGAAATTGGTAGGTATGATCAACTCATGGTCCTGACAAAGTGATTTTATTTTTCAGGTCGATCAGAAATTCAATATGACCACCACGGCCGCCATTTTGAAAAAACAAAATATTTCAAACTTCAAATCAAGATCTAATAGGCCCATTTAACTGAAACTAGGCCTAGGAATGATCAACTCATGGTCCTAACAAACTTAACTTAACGTTATACTTAACTCTTTTTTACTCAAATTGGTAGGTATGATTGACATCATTATCTCCACTTCATATTGCAACAAAAAATTAAGTACTGTAGGACTCGGGTGACTGTTCAGGACCATGGGCCTCTTGTTTATCTTATAGATTTGAGGAGCAGCGTCTGCAGTTCATAACCAATAGCATCCGTGATTCTGGTTTGTACAACATAATGGTGCAGTGGCCAAAATCTGTGGGGCAGGACGAGGAGGACTTTTCCAAAACTTTCCAATTTACATTCAAAGTCAACCCAGTAGTCACAGAGCCTATGAATGCTACCGTATTTAGAAGGTAAATATTTTGTACTGTTATTTATTTTCACTGTAACAGGAATACTTTTCTAAATATATCAGCAATTATAGCATTGGAAAAGAAAGTAATGTTTGTTTATATGGGATTTTACATTCTTACAACAGCTAAGGTCATATAATGTGCTATATCTCAATGAAATGTAATAACGCACTTCACCTTACATGACAACTACCAATGTCTGGACCCACACCACCTAACCACATTATACTGACAACTGGCTAAGTCTGGACCCACATCACCTCACCACATCATACTGACAACTGGCTAAGTCTGGACCCACAACACCTTACCACATCATTCTGACAACTGGCTAAGTCTGGACCCACCCCACCCCACCACATCATACTGACAACTGGCTAGATCTGGACCCACCCCACCCCACCACATCATACTGACAACTGGCTAAGTTTGGACCCACAACACCTCACCACATCATTCTGACAACTGGCTTAGTCTGGACCCACACCACCTCACCACATCATACTGACAACTGGCTTAGTCTGGACCAACCCCAGCCCACCACATCATACTGACAACTGGCTTAGTCTGGACCTGCTACACCTAACTACAGTAAACTGAAAACTGGTTAAGTCTGGACCAGCTCCATTTCACTACATTAAACTGACATCTTACTAAGTCACGACCAGCACCACCTTACAACATTATTCTGACAACTGGCTAAGTCTGGACCAACTCCATTTCAACAAATTTGAAGCAATACACCTAACCTCACCTGACAACTGGATAAATCTGGACCCGCTCCACCTCAACAATTTATACTGACAACTGGCTTAGTCGGGACGCACAACACATCATCCCACCTAACAACTGGCTTAGTCTGGACCCACAATACATCACCACATCATACTGACAACAGTTAAGTCTGGACCCACAACACCTCACCACTTTCTACTGACAACTGGCTAAGTCTGGACCCACTACACCTCTCTACATCATACTGACATCTGGCTAAGTCTTAACCCACTCCACGTCTCTACATCAAACTGACATCTGGCTAAGTCTGGACCCACTCCACCTCTCTACATCATACTGACATCTGGCTAAGTCTGGACCCACTCCACGTCTCTACATCAAACTGACAACTGGCTTAGTCTGGACCCACTCCACCTCTCTACATCATACTGACAACAGTTAAGTCTGGACCCACTCCACCTCTCTACATCATACTGACATCTGGCTAAGTCTTGACCCACAACACCTCATCACATCATACTGAGATCTGGCTAAGTCTGGACCCACTCCACCCCTCTACATCATACTGAGATCTGGCTAAGTCTGGACCACCACCTTAAAACATTATTCTGACAACTGGTTAAGTCTGGACTCAATCTATTTGAACAAGTTTGAAGCATGACACCTCACCTCATCTGACAACTGGCTAAGTCTGGACCCACTCCCCCTCTCTACATCATACTGACATCTGGCTAAGTCTTGACCCACTCCACTTCTTCACATCATACTGACAACTGGCCAAGTCTGGACCCACTCCACTTCTTCACATCATACTGACAACTGGCTTAGTCTGCGCCCACAACACATCACCACAGTAAACTCACAACTGGCTTGGTCTGGACCCACTCCACTTCTTAACATCATACTGACAACTGGCTAAGTCTTGACCCACTCCACTTCTTAACATCATACTGACAACTGGCTAAGTCTGGACCCACTCCACTTCTTCACATCATACTGACAACTGGCTTAGTCTGGACCCACAACACCACATCATACTGACAACTGGCTTAGTCTGGACCCACTCTACTTATTCACATCATACTGACAGCTGGCTAAGTCTGGACCCACGTACTGCACCTCTCCAAATCATACCGAGATCTGGATAAGTCTGGACCACCACCTTAAAACATTATTCTGAAACTGGTTAAGTCTGGACTCACTCTATTTCAACAAATTTGAAGCATGACACCTCACCTCATCTGACAACTGGCTAAGTCTGGCCCCTCACCACCTCACCACATTATACTGTCAACTGGCTAAGTCTGGTCTCACTCTTATGATATTGAGATGGTTCTTTACTTAGTCGAACACTTACACATGACTTCAGAGTCTGATGTACAGAAATGATGGCATTTGCAGTAGAGAAATGCGAATATTGACACCGCTATGCAGACATTTTATATATTACTTGACGATTGTAAGTAAATCTGTAAATAGGGGCACTTAAAACTGACATCCTGACGCCACGGTACTCGTAAAGTGTATATCTTGCATGTGACACACTGATCGTAATACCAGACCTAAATCAATATTTCTGAACTGATTATTCTTTCAAAAACGGTGTGTAAATTAAAAATTGCATATATACATATTTGAGTTTTCATCGGTAAGTGTTGGATATGTGCCCAAAAACAAACAAGCGTTCATCCACCTGTCATTTAACAGGGACAACTTGCTATACAGCCAAACTCATTCTACCGCCAAAATGTCTTTGAATGGAAAGTGGGGGTATATCGGGGTTATACTGTACACTATGAAAGTAAAGAGAACGACCGGTAAGGGGCATGTCAAAGAAAATAGAAAAAAAGCTTTGTTCTGAATGCTGAAATAATGAATTTAAAAGTTCTTATGCAGAACACAGTAAGTTGCCTTTTCTTTCACATTTTTCCATTGCTCAGAAATTCAAATGTAAATGAACAAAGATAACTTTCCTTACAAACTCATCAAAATCCACAGTTGAAAGTTTAATGTCTCCTCAATTGAACATTAGTAGTACTGTGGCTGCTGTGAATATTGACCTGTCCAACTATTATACAATTTCAAAATTTAAAGTAAAATCTGCTTCTTCAGTATATCTCAACAAGGAGATATTCTGTTTTTCGCCCACCATCATCTTATAGTGTGCTTTTCAAATCACCCTGCATCCGTCATCCATCGTCCGTCCTTAAACAATTCTTGTTATCGCTATTTCTTAGGAAGTATCAGAGTGATCTTTCTCAAATTGTATTTAATGTAGGTTCCCCTTGGTCTCTAGTTGTACAGGTTTACTTTTGAGACCTATCAGATAAACAAAATGGCCGACAGGCAGCCATCTTGGATTTTGACAGTGAAGGTTTGTTATGGCCATTTCTCAGGAAGTACTGGAGAGATCTTTCCCAAATTTGATATGTAGGTTCCCCTTGGTCTGAAGTTGTGCATGTTTACAATTATCGGATAAACAAAATGGCTGACTGGCGGTCATCTTGATTTTTGACATTGAAGGTTTGTTAGTGCTATTTCTCATGAATAACTTGAGGGATCTTTCTCAAATTTGATATGTAGGTTCCCCTTGATCCCTCTGTTGCATGTTTTATTTTGAGAGTGATCATAAAAACAAAATGGCCGAGGGAAGAACTTAACAGATTTTTCTCATATGCAGTGATCGGTTCTATTTCTTTCACATAAAGTACTGTACTAGTAAATATGTGAAATGACACTTTGAAGGTTGTCTTTTATACACAGCAGTATTATGTTTAGATAAAAAGTTACCTCAAAGTGCATTTACTGTTAACATGACTCGGTCAAACAGATTAGAGAAAAGAAGAGAAAAGATTGAATTGACAAAGAACTAATTATAATGAAGATGGTACAATGCTGGGCACCAAGATCCCTCTGGAAATCCTTGTTTAAGCTTTGTGTTACTAAATATAAATATTAACATCTGTCCCTCTTCAGCTTGGTAAACTCTGACTGCGTATAAACTAGCGTACATAATAATGTATGCGCAATGAAAAAAGGCTTGGCAGATTGATAACTGTTACAAATATGGCGCCCTTCTCGCTTCAGTGAAATAACTGTTCTATGACAGCCATTGTTAAGTTCCTTCAACATTTAGAAACATGGAACATATCCAGGATCCATTATGTCTGATTATACAACAAAGGGATGATAGCAAACTTCTTATTCCATGGATTCACATTCAAAATTATTTGACGTGAAGTAAACAATTATGGCCAGTTCATTTTGCGACGCTAGAGCGTGTCAATACCAGAGCAGTGTGTCAGTGTGTGTACATGACGACCCCCGTTATAAACCGATTAAAATGTTCGAAGTGCTACTAATATTACTTAATTAAAAAAATTAAAAGCGATCAAAAGAAGAAAAATTGTAGTGTTAACTGTATATTTTCTAAATTTACTGCTATTATATAGATATAGATTCACTGGAACCTTATTGTCTAATAGCAACCATGGCTACCATATTTTCTAACTTTACCGCTATTATATAGATATAGATTCACTGGAACCTTATTGTCTAATATCAACCATGGGTACCATATTTTCTAACTTTACCGCTATTATATAGATATAGATTCACTGGAACCTTATTGTCTAATAGCAACCATGGCTACCATATTTTCTAAATTTACCGCTGTTATATAGATATAGATTCACTGGAACCTAATCATCCAATAGCAACCATGGCTACCATATTTTCTAAATTTACCGCTGTTATATAGATATAGATTCACTGGAACCTTATCATCCAATAGCAACCATGGCTACCATATTTTCTAAATTTACCGGTATTATATAGATATAGATTCACTGGAACCTTATTATCCAATAGCAACCAGGGCTACCATATTTACTAACTTTACCGCTATTATATAGATATAGATTCACTGGAACCTTATTGTCTAATAGCAACCATGGCTACCATATTTTCTAACTTTACCGCTATTATATAGATATAGATTCACTGGAACCTTATCATCCAATAGCAACCAGGGCTACCATATTTTCTAACTTTACCGCTATTATATAGATATAGATTCACTGGAACCTTATTGTCTAATAGCAACCATGGCTACCATATTTTCTAACTTTACCGCTATTATATAGATATAGATTCACTGGAACCTTATCATCCAATAGCAACCAGGGCTACCCTCGTAGCAACTGGCTTTGACTGTTATTTTTCTTTGTTTAGCATTTCAAAATAGTTTATCATGTAAATATAAG